GCTGCTGCTCTCGATCTGCAGGGCCAGGAGGCGCGCTTCCTTGTAAACTTCCACGAACTTCTCCCCGGCGAGAGGGCTCCAGCGGAAGGGACTTTCTGACGCCGACGAAGGAGGCTGTGGGGGGCTTGGACCTGGGCGGCCGAGCTCCAGGTTGGCGGCGACACACCTCTCCTTGTGCCCAACGGGCCCAAAAAAGACCTCATCGTCTTCGTTTGCACTATTTCGGGAGAGAAGGACTGTGAGTAGCGCTGGCCTGTGAGTGGGAGAGTCCACTGAATGTGGTTATGCCCGCGGCCAGGGAGGAAGACGCAGCTTCTTACCTCAAAGACGACAGCGACAGGTCGAAGTCAAACTTTTCATCGGCCAGAAGAAGGACGTCTGGGGGGAGAGTCACCGTTACTTTAGGGCGGGCTGACAAACAGGACACCGTCTCCATCGCCACCACCACGAGGACGGACTTTCCCCCCCACAGCGTCACTTACCATCTTTTTTTTTTAATTTTTGTTTTATTGCTTAAAGTATTACAAAGAGCAGTACACGTGTCTCCTTTTGTTCCCCACGGACCTTCCCCCGGCCTCCCCGCCCCCCAGTGCCTTGTGTCCATTGGCTATGCTTCTGTGCATGCGTACAAGCCCTTCGTTTGATCTCATCATTTTTTAATAGTCACATTTTCATAGGGGGCTCTAGATTATCTTTTTTTTCCCATTTTCTTTTTAAAATATAGCATCAGCTCTTTCATGTTTGCTAAGTGGTTCCAAAACCCAAGGCCTGGGTTTACAGACACAGTCTGACCTGCCCTCGCCGTCACCCCGCGGCTCTCCGTCACCCCGCGGCTCTCCCGGCTCACCAGGCAGCGTCAGGTACAGGACGTTTTCCGATAACCCCGCTTCCCAACCACGAACAGCTGTTCCCCTCGGAACCAGGTCCGCGTTATTCCAGCGCACAGGGACTCCGGAAGTGGACGGACCTGCTGGCTGTCACCTCTTCTTCGAGCCCATCTGAGCCCCCAGGTCACACTGCACCGTGTGCCCCACCCACACTCCCACCTGGTGCCTCCTGAGCCCGACCCCCCTCATAGAGCACCGGCTCCGGGCCAGGGGTCCCTCTGCTGGGGGACCTCCTGCTCCTCCCCCTCCCCCTCCCACCGGGGCTCCCGCAGCACCAGACACTGACCTCCACCTGCGCCACCTCACCACCCTCCCTCCTGTGGCCCCAACGAGACTGTGAGCTCCTCCAGGCCACAGACGCCCAACTCCCCCACGTTCCCACTGTCCAGCTAGGGGCCTGGACACGCAGCTAAATACTCATCAAACGCGCTGAACTGACACTTCAACCAAACGCACGCAGGCCTTCACCACGCATGTCTTACCGGTCCCTGATAAACAATGCCGCATGCTTAGCAAAACCGTAAAACCTAAAATGCTAATATCCTAACTAGACTCGAATTAGTCCGTTTAATTAGTGCTAACCACCCAATCAAGGGAACGGTAGAAGCATAAATGCACAAAATAAACAAAACAAACCAGAGGGAGGACATTAAAAGACTCATCGGCTCGTTTGCTCAACTCCGAGCACGTACATAAGGATTTGACTGAAATGGATAGTTTCCTAGGAAACAGGATTTATTTTGTTATTTAGCATTTTTTTCTTCAGTCGTCACCCGAGGATATGTTTTACTGATGTGAGAGAGAAACATCGATCCCGTAAGCGCCCTGACTGGGGATCGAACCCGAAACCTAGGCATGTGCCCTGACTGGAATCGAACCCGCGACCTTGTTGGTGTATGGGGATGATGCTCCAACCAACTGAGCCACACAGCAATCAATGGCTTTCGTATCTAGAAAATATATGGGAGAAAGACCCCCTTTACAGCAGCAGCAAAAAAATACAAAATACCTATGAAGAAACCTAACAAGAAACTGACAAGATGAATTTAAAAAGTTTAGTATATCATAAAAGTAACACATCAAATAAAAGGGGAAAACAAAGTGTTCAGTAAATGGTATTGAGTTGTCGGGAAAAAATATATATGTAACGTTTGATCCACACCCCATACCATACCAGGCTAAGTTCCAAATAAGTCGAAGATATAATTTTAAAAAATGAAACCCTGAAAGAGTCATTACCCAGGGGACATTGCTTTACAAGCTGAGCGTGGAGGGCTGTGACACCCCACTGGGAGCCGTACAGGAAAGGCTGCTGGTCCGATACGTAAAAGACGTTTTAAACCTCTGCCTGGCAAAAGCCGCCGGGAGCCAAGTTAAAAGAAACCATTCAGAGGGACAAGCATGTCTGCCCTCGTGAACGGTGCCCACACGCCGCTAAGAAGACAACTGACAGCGCGATGGGCGGACGGACACAGAACATGAACAGGTGAAACGCACGGGAGTAAAATGGAGAGTTCTTACACATGTGCCCGGAAGCTCAGCCTCCCTCAAAAAATAAAAGTCACGCCAAAGAAACCTACGTGAACTCCCACTTCCCACCCGGCAGGCTGGCTGTGGGGAGAGGGTGTCTGCCGCCTGTCCCAGCGGCACCGCCAGGGTGCCTGGCAGCACCCACCAAAACCAACGCGCCCGCCTCCGGCCCAGGAGCCTCCTCCGGAAGGTCTCCCACAGACCATCCACTGTTACCTGTGGCAGCAGCACGTGCAACAGCAGGACACGAGACACCCACGGCGGGAGGGCAGTGACAGCACAGCCCCGCGGGGAATGCAGAAGAGGACAGTAACCCGCCCTGCTCCTCGGGGAGACTTCACAAACATAAGGGGGATGGAGGCGAACCCCTCGACGATGGGCACCGTGAGCCCATGGGTACAGAGCACAGGCCGGGCCCTTATGAACACGTCCAGTTCTCACGGGAGGACTCTTCACCGACTCCCACTGAGCCCCCCGCCCCCACAGCCACGCGCTGCAGGACCAGGACGTACCATCCTTCCTGGGAACCTCCGTCTCTGCTCCTCCTGCCTCGCTGGCTGGGGGCCCGCCGCTGCCGCCTCCTTCCATCCCGGTGCTACCAGAAACTCTGTGTCTGCAGGGAGGAGGGGGGCAGGTGAGCAGGGAGGAGGGGGCAGGTGAGGAGGGAGGAGGGGGGCAGGTGAGGAGGGAGGGGG